AATTATCAGGCACTATTAGTTTTATTTTGGCATAAAGCAATGTATAGCATATAGCATAATATATATAGATCTATATATATCTACAGCAATTAGTAAGACTGTTATAAACCTTTATACCAGTGGTTCTCAACCTGTGTAACCTCGGGACCCACATGTTTCCTTGGTCATTAAGGCGTGACCCAAAAATGATTTAATTTCTGAAACATTTTAATTTATTACACAAAACAACTTGTGCAGTATTCAGCAATATATATTTTGCTGAAAGTAAATGAATTTTGGGCCGGTCTATGCAGACATGACGCCGCGACCCACTGCAGAGGGTGTCGCGACCCACTTTTGGGTCGCGACCCACGAGTTGAGAGCCACTGCTTTATACACACACACAAAAAAAGACCGAACCACGCTTGCAAAAACCTACCAATTCAGCTAAACTATTTGGCACTTAGTCTGCATAAATTGGTTAACAGATAATTGATGCAAAAGTTATGAGCTGCTAAAGGCAATCCCCCCCCCCATACAAAAATGAAGCCCCCACAGCTAACACACAGTGGTTGGCCTTGTTCCACAGTTACCTTATAAATTAAGTTGGAACCCTTGTGGTTAGAGGGGTAAAATCTGACAACTGAAATACTGTTGTATTTTACAGTCTACTTGTGAAGCAAGAAATCACTAACAGGCGCCTTGCAGGTTCTAGTGCCAGTAAAAGCAGGGGGCACTGGGTGGTAGGAGGGGTGTGTGTTACTGCATGGAGTTCTTTTAAAACAAATTGGCAATTTATCTTTTTTCCCCTTTAAAAGGTGTCCATTGTGACATTAGATTACAGGTCCCTAATTTAGTCAGGTTTTATTGTAATGCTTTCTTTCAGACACCCTCTATAAGCCCCCCTCAGACAGTCCCAACCAACCAGCTTCATGGATAAAGTAATGAGATAGGATAGAAAATCTGGCCTGATTGCATTATCCCTTTAGAAATGCCAGTGCCATGACTTTATGTGCTCTGTATCCCTGCAGAGCCTAAACAAGAACACTTGTCTGATTACAATTTAGGAAAGTTGTGACCTGCAAATATTATTAGATGGTCACTTAATTTCAGCACATCTTTATTCTATGATAACTATAGCTAGGTTAAGGTAACCAAAGCAATTAAATGGTCCTAACTGACAATTGTGATAAACATCTCCACAATGAATACACCAGAAAGAATATACTCAGAAAGGCAGACCTTGGACATCACTTTTTCTGACTGACTGTGTGGCCACCTGGGATTTGGTTTTATATGTTGTTGCTGTACTGTGTCACATGATGGTACATTAGGGTATACTGCAGTGGCGTAACAATCGACACAGCTACCCAGGCGGCCACTATGGGGCCCGGGGCACAGGGGGGCCTGGCCAGATGCCGTGCGGGCCGCCAGGATCGCAATGGTATCTTATGCTGGTGGCTTTCACTGGCGGCTGTGAGAAGAATGCACTGCTGTTTAGATCGCTGACAGTGATCTGTGCAGCAGCACGTTCTTCTCACAGCTGCTGAGAGCCAGCAGCGGCGGTGTAGCAGGCTGGACCCGGTGTTCTGTCGACGAGAAGGCAGGGCCCTTGGTCGGCAGCAGAGGAAGCAGGGACCGGTGACGGAGGAGGCGGGTCCGGCGACTGAGGAGGCGGGGCCCATCAGCGATCGTTGAGCCCACCATAGAAATTATATGGTGGGCTCTGCAGGGTCACCCTCAGGTGGGCTGCGTGGGATCTCAAGTGGGCATAACTAGAAGTCACAGGGCCCCATACAAAATTTTGATATGGGGTCCTGTGATTTCTAGTTACGCCCCTGGTATACTGTATAATTGCCACATGCTGTTTGTACTCTGATGCTAGTGCATAAATGTATACATCGCCTTTCACATACTGTGTATATTTGTCTATATGGAAGCAATATCTATTAAATGTACTCTTTTGCATGATAAAATTTGTGGGTGTGCCTCATTCACTATGGTTTCTCAATAGAAGGAATCAGATACCTGCCTGGCTTGAAATCCTTGGCCAATGGGCAGTTAGAGCGACAGTTTGACGGTGCTGTGAGTGTCAATACAAGCACATGTATACAATTTATCAATGCATGTGTACGAGGAAGTTGGGAATGGTCTTATGGCTGTTTATATTGTTTCAGTACACATGTCTGCCTTCTTAGCTTTAGTGACCGGCTTGCATTTGAAGAAAATCTACACCTGAAATCAACAGATGATCTGGATGGAAGGAAATAGGCCAGGTTCTGTATAATTTACACCCACCTTTTGTGACCTCTACAGGCCCCATTCTTTTACGGTTGATGTTTCTGCTTCCTGCAAAAATTTGGTGTCAGCCCTTAAACTCTTTCACTTTCCAGGTAGGTAAGAATGGCCCAGCAAGTGGAGCAGATGGAAGGGAAAGCATACTGGAACTGGATATAATGTAAATACTGCAAATGGTTGCACTGCCAGATCAATTTTTGTACAGGTAACTTGAAAGAGCCAGAGTTTCTTAGAAATCGATGAAATAACTATGTAATTATGCACAATTTGTGTGTTCTTACTCAAAGCGTTACAATAAGCATGTTTTATTATCTTACTTGAATGAATATAGCTCCCTCTAAAGCCGTCTTCAAGTCACTGCTGCCACTGAGAAGAGAGATTTGTTGGTCGGCATTCAGACTTCCTCTGAGCATCCCTGATTTTGTGAGTTCATCCATTTGTTTCCTAGTTTAGAGGTGAACAAAAAAATTTGCCTTTTTATACAACAATAATATGAATTATAGCATAAGCAAAACATTTGTGA